GCTAAACGCGATCGGCACTATCCGCTATGGAGCCACCTACATTCATTTTAAAAAAATGTAGCGCCCCCAGCAAAAGGGCGTTAGTACCATGGAATAGTACTAGTATGTATAACTAAACACCATCCTATTAGAAAGAACAACCATACAAGAGTAAAGAGGAAGCTCTTACAACATTTACACGGGCACCATGGAAGCTCAATTTCTAATAGGAGGGGGTTTTAGCCACACATACCTCAATGGAGTTTTCCTTTAATCTTTATAATAATTTCCGGGACTTTAAGCACTTCAATCTATTTTATAAGAATTGCAAATTGAACCAAGAATTAGAAACATGATTAGGATTCTAGCTCATTCGAGCATATTACCAAGCACTAAGTGTGCACAGTGATTCTAGGACCCCTATCTGAGAGATTTTCATCATCCTATATCACAATTGTTATCTTTTTAGTTCACAACCTCCCCATACCATCATCATATTTTATGCATGCAAGATTATCAACTCTTATACCCATGAATTCACTTGCTAATCACTTGCTTTAATAGAAATTTTGAAATTATAGGTGAGGGTACAAGTTCTTACCTCTTAGGGTGAAGACCTAGCAATTTCACTTGACAATCTTCAAGGATTTGGGGCAAGGGTTGAGTGGGAACTTAATGAAGATCACTCCCTCTCACCCTAGAACTCCCTCTCTCATTCTATATGCAGTGAAATAACAGAAAAATGGTCTAATGGGGTATTTTTATTGGGATGGGGTAGGGTTTTAAAAGTTAGAAAATAGGAGCCCCGACGAATTATGCGATAGCATATGCGATCGCATACCTGACATGCGGCCCGCAAAATGGACCGCAAAAATGGTCCTAAAACCTGAACATACTGTCTGGGTATGTGACAGAAATGCGGTCCGCATACCTGTTCTGCAGTCGCATAATGCACCGCAGAACTGTCCCTCGTAAAATTCCAAGGTGATTATGCGATGACTATGCGGCCCGCATATTCATTATGCGATCGCATATGTGGCCGAATAGTTGACCTCAAAATTGACCAACACACTGCTTCACTCTGCGGCGACTATGCGGTCCGCATGGCTATTATGTGACTGCATACTGGACCGCAAAATCGCATTTTTCTGGAAAACATTATTCCTTTACTTTTTTAATGCATACATCAATCCAAAGGGTCCGAACCGCGGCGAGCAAGCTCGCCGCTAGGAATTTTACAAATTTCTAACACGTATCCCTATCTTGGCACTACGAGCTCTCGAGTTTTGAGTAAATATTTTCACGGGGCCATACACACGACTTCTTCGAATCCACACCTTTCAGGATCGGGGGTGCGCCCGGGATTTGGTCGACCCTGGAGTTGTAAGTCTCGACATTTTTGTCGTTGGTTGCTATCATTTTATTGCCCGATTCAATCCTTTTGGTGAGGTCCTCGAGCATTTTTATGATGGCGGGATCGCCTATCGGCCCATTATTGCTTGACCTCTCTGGTACTTGTTCGGCCGGGGCAGCTATCTCCGCTGCTACCGTGCTAGGAGTCTTCTGGCGACTTTGCAGCTGAGCAATAGCGAGTTGTTGTGCCCGCAACATTTCAAAAATAACATGAAGGCTAACTTCCCATTTTTTGCGAGCTGTGGCTTTTGGGGCTTCCTGTTGGTCGACTTGGTGTATGCTCCTGTTAGTGTGGGAGCTTGTTTCGACGTGTCGAGCGTCACATGAGATTCCGTCCACCGGAATCGGTCTTGGCGCGTTCTCAAGATTTTGTGGCGGCTCACCAACACCTGGAACAGCCACACCATTTTCCTCGTGGTTCTCAATATTGTTGTTTACTGAATCAGACATTTTAACCTGAAACCGAAGATTTTGGACAAGAAAAAACGTGAAAAATAACTTGCTTTATGTGATGAAACCAGCAAGAAAATAATCACTATTACTTTTAGCCCCACGGTGGGCGCCAAACTGTTTACTGTGAAAATGGTAATAACAATTAAATTTTTTGATGGGACTCTAAAAATATGTGATCTATTTTTATGCTAGTTGCTTAAGCAGATGATGCTATGTATATGAAGTTTAGAGACGAAATACAATCTAAAATGGAGTTATAATCGAACCGATGAGCTAGCCGATCGGGGCCTCGGACTGACCGATACGGGGCCTCGAGGTAAATTTCTGGGCTCGGGCTCGAGCTATTAAGGGTAATTGGAGAAGGGTAAGAGTTAATAATCAGCGAAGGCTCTATATGACCAATGATAAGCAATAAATGAAGAACCAAGTATGAAAGTTATAAGTAAGAGCAACAATATCGAGAGAGTATGTTAGAGAGAAAGGAGAGAGAGTTATTGTATATTTCATGTGAACAATTGGAACAACAGCCGCCTCCTACAAAATGACAAGGATCCCCTTTATATAGAAGGGGTATCCCTATACGGTATAAAATACATTAATTGTAAAGATATGGAGATGGGACGGCTAAACATGACACCCTGATTCGGGTTCAGAGTAGGCCGTTCAGAGTAGGCCGGCTAGGCTTTGTCAAACTTAGCCACGTGGCTTGGGAACTCCACGTCTTTACCCTAGCCACGATCAATAATGCCTCTAGGCCGGGCGTCGACGAGCCTCGAGAGAGGGAACTCGGTCACAGCTTTGCGGCCTCGAGGCTTCGATTTCGCCGTATACATTTATACGAATAGAAAGGTGCCTCTATAGGCGGATACAAGACATAACCAAACCATCTCAAGTGACCTTCTCTCATTTTATCCTCAATGCGTGCCACTTGCACCTTACTTAATATACACTAATTGGGTATGATCGATAAAAATCTATTGTATTCACTGCCTTCCTTAATCCTTATAGCCTACATATTTATAATAATATCAATTTCTAAAAGAGAAGAGTAAATTTCACTTTTATCCCCTTAACGTTAATTGTTTGATCATAAATCAACGGATAACTCAGAATTAGTTTTGAAATTTCAACATACATGCAATATACTAGCTAGTTTCTTCAAACTTATATATGCCTAATTCCCAAAATAAATAACGCTAACACATTGCGAAATTTTAGACCTATAAGTCTTTGCAATATGATTTATAAAATGATCACCAAAGTGATTGCTAACAGGATCAAGCCTTTTCTTAACCAATTGATCAATATTGAACAAACCAGCTTTATAAAGGGAAGGAGAGCTAGTGACAATGCAATCATTATTCAAGAAGTTCTTAAGAATTTTAACTGTAATAAAGGGAAAGAAAAATGGTCCTAAAGCTTGATTTAGAAAAAGCGTTCGACAAACTGGGATGGTCATATATCTATCGAACACTTAATTTTTTCAAATTCCCCAGGAAGATAAAACTCATACTGAGCTGTGTTACCACTAGTACAATTTCAATACTAGTTAATGGTAACAAAACTAAGGAATTTACCTCTACAAGGGGGATTAGACAAGGAGACCCCATGTCACCCTACATATTCATACTTTGTATGGATATGCTTTCCAAAAACATTAACCACGAAGTTGATATTAGAAATTGGGTGCCTATTAAACTGAATCCTAGAACACCACCCCTCTCTCATTTATTTGTTGCAGATGATTTAACTCTAATGGGTGAGGCTAGTCAAAAAACACTTAGGACTATTAACAAATGCATAGAGGATTTTAGCAAGTTATCAGGTCTAGTCATCAACAAGGCAAAATAAAAAATAGTCATGTCTAGAAGCTGTAAAAATCATACAAGGGATATGGCTACTCTCATGCTTGGGATTACTGTTAGTAATAATTTTGGTAATTACCTTGGTTTTCCAATACTAAATAATTTCCTTAGGCATAAGGACTACCAGCCTTTACATGACAAGATGCGGGCTAGATTGAATAATTGGAATGCTAAGTGGCTTAGTATGGTGGGTAGGTGCACTCTCATAACATCTACCTTAAATACACTGCCAAATCACCTAATGCAAATTAGTTTACTCCCTACTAAAACACTCCAAGAGATAGACAAGATCCAGAGAGATTTTCTATGGAGTACTACAAGTGATAAAAGGAAACTACATCTCATTGGTTGGAACACAGTCACAAACAACAAGTCAAATAAAGGGCTGGGTATTAAGAAAGCTAAGGATAAAAATATTGCTCTCCTTACAGGATTAGCTTGGAGAATTCTCACTAACACGCAATCCTTATGGGCTAAAGTACTAATTAGCATTTATGGTAAGAAAAAAAGGAACAATTGGTTCCTCAATTACCTGGAAAAGTCTCCTAATAGGTTGGAACATTTGTAACAAGGGGATTAGATGGCCAGTAAATAGAAACTCAAGTATGAATATATGGAAAACAAACTGAATACCAAATTTCCCTAGTCTTCGCCACAGCATTTCAGGTCCGTTAAAAAAAGATGAGGAGAAGCTTAATATAAAAGACATGTGACACAAAAGGGTGGAACTTAGGGAAAATTTCCTTCGACCTTCCAAAACCTATTCAAAATAGCATAAAGGCTATTGAACAAGATATCCAAATGACTACTCAAAAAGAGTTCAATTGGAGTCTACACCCCAGTGGTATATTCACGACATCCTCTTCCTATAAGTTAATAGATAGCAAAGACCCACAGCCTCACTCTATCAATTGGATTTGGGAGCTACACTATCCTAACAAGATTAAGCTCTTCATTTGGAAACTCTACCATATAAGGTTACCCACAAGAGGCTATCTTGCTAAGATTGATATTAATATAGATCCAACATGCCCAATATGTAAAAACACAAATGAATCTATATATCACATTTTTTTGGAATGCCCTATAGCCAAGACAGTATGGCAAAATCTAGGAGTGACCATAACAAATTTAGGCACAACCAATGACTGGTTGGAATCCATACTAAATACATCTCCCAAAATTCCAATAGGGTATGTTACTTGGAAAGAAATACTGCCTTTCGCACTTTGGGAAATTTGGAATAATAGAAACCATAATAACATCAACAACCAAAGCTCTCATATAAAGATGGAAAAAAATTTGGCCTACGCAAGTGAATACTCTTTATTAGCAAACAAGCAAATTTTCCATAACAAGGTTATACGATTGAATGTCAAATGGGAACGACCAAGAAAAGGATGGATCAAGGCCAACATAGATGGAGCATTCAAAATTGACAGTCTGGAAGGAGGCATTATTGGAGTATTTCGTGACTTAAAGGGAAGGTGGATGATGGGTTTTTTAATGAAAATACAAGCAGCCTCAGCGTTACACACGGAACTACAAGCCCTTCTGCATACATTACGACTAATCATCAAGGAACATATGTTCCCTATAGAAGTGGATACAGATGCCACGAAGATTATTAACATTATCAATAAAGACTACCATGCTAACGATATTATATTTCAAAAATGCAGGTTATTTGTGGAGGAGGCTTCCAGGCAGGGGACAATATTATTCAAGCATAGTTTCAGGGAAGGAAATATGGTGGCTCATGTTTTGGCGAAAGCAACGTTAAGGAACACTAGTTACAATAATTTATGCACTTCTGTTCAACTACCTGACCCTGTTATAGATGTATATGGCAAGGATCAGGATGGCTATGTTTATGCTAGGAACTGAACATTGTGAACGTTTGGCTGCATTAGGGAATGATAGCGCCTTACAAGGCATAATGGTAGGTTCCGATGGACTATGTATTAAGGACAATGTTAAGGGGCTCTAGCCCTCCTATGTTATATATAATATAAGTATACTCTCTCCGGTTCAAAAAAAAAAAAAAAAAAAAAAGCTAATTTCTAGTAGGTTATTGTTTCCGAAATCCTACAAGTTAAGGGGGTTTAGTTGAATTTATTTAAACGAGAAAGCAGCGATACAGGAAAATTATTTTGGTCCAAACCAAATCTATATATGCAAATTTATATGCGTTTTCTTGACACCAAAAATGGAAAAACCAAATCCGAATAATAAAGACGTAACCACAAAAACCGAATGCACGCCCCTTATACCAATAGAAGAAGAAAGAAGATGTAAGAAGAACTAAGCATTACATCTCTACCATTATATAAAGGTTTATATTTTAGTTTTCATAAAAAATTTAAGATCAGATTAACTAACTTCCGTCGAGCTTTAGCACTCAAAAGGGGAAAGAAAACAGGAAAACAGCGAATAAGGAGGGCACACTAGCGGAATACGTTTTATAAATGACAGGTTCGTGTTCACAAGCGTCTCACTGGTTATTACATAGATAACTAAAGCAAATAACATTTGGATGGAATGAGAAATTTCTAATTATTCAACCTCGAAAAATACTCATACCCCACCCCCCTTTAGTTAATTAATCTTCTACTTCTTGTCTTTCGTCTTTTCTTCTTCTTTCTTTTCTTCCTCTTCTTCGAAGGCAGAAGCTGGGAACGTCCTTCTTATTCCACTGGGGATGCCAAATATGATTTTCTTGGATTCAGGGTCCTTAATGCAAATATCAGAAATGTTAACCCAGAAAGACAGCTCCTTAGTCTTGACCCCAGTAATATTTTTCAGTCGACGGTCCTCAACAAACGCTGTGACCTCAGCAGCGTAGGTCACAGTTTTTTTAATCTTTTTGAAGCAGTGATCCGTTACCTTTTTCTGCTTCAGCCATACGAACCCAGTTTCATGGTTTCGACCAACTTCCACGATGTCCTCCAGTGGGAGAAGTCCACGTGGCATGTTGATTTCCTCGAGGAGTTCGAAAGACTTTTTCACGCATAGTAATTGATCAGTGTATATTTCAGCATTTTCACGGTGATTCTTGATGACTTCGAGCAGAGCCGACGACATTTTTTTGAGAAATGGAAGGGAAATGAGAAGCTAGATGAAATGGAAGTGTAATGGATATGTGACGGGACTGGCTGGTTGAGTGGGGAAACTAGGGAATTGACGGGCTTACTTATAGGGAAAATTCAGAGTTGAAGCTACTAAAAAAATAATATTCCCCATCTTGGATTTGTCGTGACGGGTAAATTAAGCAATTGCCGGCACAAATCTTGATACAAGTTTTTGTATAGGGCCTTGCTCGAGTACCCATACCAACGTACTATATAAGATTTTTAAAAAAAATTATATAAATATTATTAAATTTTATATATTAGATGTGTAGTTGTCGAATATATCACAAGGAAAATATTTCTAGAATTTAATATTGTGTTAAGATTATAGTGAAGGTTTTAGTATAAAACTTTTTATATCTATTATAGAATACACTTGAATGTGCATTTATCAAATGGATTTTGAATACTTATATATGCTATAATTATTTTTGTTCTATTTTCTAGTATCATGAATATATACATGTATCCCAATGATGACCTCACCGCCCTCATGTTTGCTGGGATATACATAAGATCACTTAAACGCATCGTTAAAGTCACGATCCAAAATCTCAGCCAGGAGGGTCGTGATGGTTCCAAATACTATTTGCTAGGCAAGCCAACATTTAACGATAAATAAAAAAACTAGTCCAACAGACAATAGCATAATAAAATGGAATAAGTGTAAAACTCATAAATATATGTAAAAATAAGTTTAAACCATACACCGCCTACACAACCACCGAAGATTTGGTGTCATATAGTACATGAGCTTCTAAGAATACTACATAAAAAGTCTGAAATGAAATGTAATACTGTCTGATTCAAGAAAATAGCAATAATAAGAGCAAGGGTGACTCTGGAGTCTGTGGACGAAAACCACCAATACCTCGAGTCTCCTTGGTCACCAAGCTATGCCCTTCGCTGGATGCTACTAGGACCTATACCAAAATCTGCACAAGAAGTACAAATGTGTAGTATGAGTACAACTGACCAATGTACCCTGTAAGTGTCGAACATATCTCCGACGAGGTAGTAACGAGGCTAAGACAACATACCTACATATAAACCAGTACAGTTAAACAACGAGGAAATAACGAGAGATATAGCAACATGAAGAGAAACGAATGATGACATCGAAATCCATAACTAAAAAGTAAATGGAGATGGTCGTATGCAATACAATATACCCAGCAATGAGTCGGAGTTGAATCCCACAGAGAATAATATGTAGGCGATTAGGCTATATAAGAAAACAATCGCATATTATGCTAAGCCAAACACTAATAAAGGTGTTGAAAAAATATTTCTGTCTAAACACTGTTGATACCCAATTTTTCCCTATTATATTTTTCAAATGCATATATACCTTCAAAACTACGCATTAGCATCAATTGATATTTTTCCATAATTTCTATATTTTTAAATTAATTTATCCCAGTATTTTATTTATATAAATAATTACAAATTGCATCACAAAGGACTTTTTAACAATTCACGGTTTAATTTTGCTATTTATATCCATATTGAGCTCAAATTATTTCACAAATAGCCACATCTACATTTTTGGGTTACAATTGCAATAACTTTGTAATTATAGCCCATGCATGCATTATTGCATTATTTTACCAGAAAATAGCTCATTGTATTTTTAAAATATTGAGTAATTATTTTAAATCATTTTCATGCATGAACATTATTTTTTATAATCATTTAATTATTTTATAAAATGTATTTTATCAATTATTTGGGTATTTAACAAATAACCCTTTTTATTTCAGACCTAACCATTTTTACCAGCCCAAAACCCCCTTTAATATTAACCCAAAAAGCCAGCCCAAACCCCTTAAGCCCAATCTGCCTACCCGACCCAATAGCCCCTCTTCAATCGTGGCCATTAATCTTTTAGATCAACGGTCCACGTTCACCCTTACCTTAATTAACCCTTAACCTACCCCAAACCCTTTTCATTATCTCAAAACCCGCCGTCACCGTCTGCCCTCATCTCTCAACTCTCTCTCAACCTAACCCTAACCTTAGTCTCCGTCAACGGCGTAAACCTCCCTCCTATGGTGCTTCTACGTCTTCTCTGACCACCCCTGGCCTCCTACACTCCATGGCTCTTCGACTTCATGAGTCCTTGAGAAGATCTCAAGGAACTCCAACTGGTTCTGGTTTGAAACTTTGTTTACCGGCCTGTCTCAGGCCATTTTTTCGTTCGTATGTAAGGATCCCTCCTTGTTTTATTACGAATCTATGGGTTCTTGACCTATTCTCTTCACCTCTGCTATTTTTCTGAAAACCGTAGTTCGATACTGTCGATTCTTCTCCGATATTTATAAATCTGAGGTGATTCGAAAGTTATTAAATGTTTTCCTTCAAAAAATCTCTTGTTTTAATTAATTATTTTGATTTTTAATCACTCTTTCTAAACTAGGGTTCATCTCAAACTTTTCTTCAACAATTTTTCTAAGTTCTCAGTGTTTAGTTAATTGTTTCTTCATCATCTTAACTAATTTTCGTATGAATGTTCAAACCCTAGTTATTCTGTGCGATATACTGGTTTTTTCGATTTTGTTTCGATACTCTATTATTTTTGTGATACCAGTCATATTAGTTTACTCCGTTTTTGGGCTTAAATGTTTCCCTTGTGTAAATCCAGTATTTCTTTGGGATTTTGCCCTAATTAATCTCTATTTATGGTTCGAACCTGTTTTTCTTGCTGAATTCTGTATTTCTGTGAAGCTTTACTTATTTTCTATTTATGGAATCTGAGTAATTCTTTCCCAAAAATCGGTATTCTTTTGAAGGTTTTACTAATTATTTCCTATCATTTTGCCATGTTAAAATCTGTGTGCACAGATCTTATTTGTTCCCTTATTTGTGACTTTACTTGATCGCACTTGCCTTAATAAGTTATCCGTATGGATTTGGGATTCTTACTGATTCCCTATTTGGTATGATTTGGACTCCTTACCCTAATTAACCCTTTTTTCTGTGACCGTTAAGTGATTACCCCTAATTAAGGGGTCTATTCCGGACTCCCTTACATGAATTGATTCTGTGATTATTTGAGTCCCCCTAATTGACTAATTTGTGATTCTTTTTACCTTATTTGCTCTACTCCCTAAGTGCTATATATACAATCTTGTTCTACCTCTCAAGAACACGGACAGTAGTTCAAAAGTACACACACACACTTAAACTTTCTCTCATCTCTCTTTCTGCTACTCGTGCTCATTGCTCGTCTAGCCGGCTGAAAGCCAAGGCTATACTGTGGAACTCTACCTACTTTACTTTCTGCACTTTGCTTTCTTAACTGGTATGCTCTTATTTCAATATCATTCTGAAATTCAAGTCTATGTGCTCCATAGTATTTAAATCCATGCCTATTTCCGCACTAGTTTAACTGATTATGTACTTAGTTGTTCTTCTTGTTTATTGCTTTGATCGGTATGCTTAAGTATTACCCCCCTCTTGTTCAATGTTTTAATCAGCATGTCTAGGTTTCAATCTTCTTGTTTGCTATTTTAGCCAGCATGTTTACTTGAGCTCTTGTTTGTTTCCTTCAACTAGCATGCTCATTTTAAGTAGTTCAGGCTCCTAATTTATCTAATTAACCACACTTGGTATGACTAATTCTGTGTGGTAGACCCTTGTCCTCAATATGGATATTCCTGCATTTTGTCTCTATACTCTAATGTCTATTATCACTTTAGCTTTAAGTATAATTTCCTTGTTAATACTCTGAATCAATAGTTTGTATTCTAATCCTATGAATTTGGTCACTGGTTGTCAATCAATCCCTGCTTGTTCTGTGTTCTTGTTGATCAATATGCTTCCCCTCTTATCCATGTTCATGTGTTTCTGATTTAAGCTCCCTATGTTCCCAACCCCTTTGATCCCTCTTTGTAAACTTGTTTGTCTTCACTTAGAATCAAGTAATAAATGGCTTTGAATCTGGGCACTCTAAGTTTTTGTGATTGTGTGGTTGTTTGTTGTTCTCAGAATTTCTTCCGAAACTGTTTTCACTCTTAACGTTTTGTTTTCTTTTCTTAAAACTGTTTCCATTCCTGTAATACCTTTTCACTTCTTAAATTTTTACCTCTATTATGTTTTTATTAAGTTCTTCCAACTATGTCAAGCACTCTCACTTCTACTCTTAGATTATTTAAGTTCTGACCCTCGAGTGTGTGTACTGCCTAGTAATCCATGAGATTCCTCCAAACTCTGGCACACTGGAGCTGGCCCTTCCACACTGCACATAACTACTTCTCTATTTATAAGGATCTTCGTGTGAGCATTGCCCGGGGTCCTTGAGGCCCTTGAGAACTTTGATGCACCGGGATACCTCATTGGATACTATGGACTATGACATCTTGAACTGTTTTGAAGGCCTGGTATTTCCAGGTTCACTTAGGGCCTATCTCAGGCTCCCTATAACACAGCTTATATTTATTATGTAATTTATTTATTTATGGTCTGTACTGATAATCATTGTAACCAGATATTGGGGAAATTAGTAAAAAGGAGGAATTCTTATATGATGTTTGTGGGGAAACCGGGTAGAAATCATGCCTTTAGGTTTATATTATGTTTACTTGCATTACAAATCATGCTTTAGGTTTATACTATGTTTACCTGCATTAGAAACCATGCTTTTAGGATCACTTGGCATACTAGACAACATGTTATAGGCACGCTACCTCATTTGTTATCAAATTCTGTTTCTGCATAATCATGATCATCTAGAAATCCTATTATTAAGTTACTGCTATAATTCCGCCTAATAAAAACGTCCATTCTTTCTGTGCATTAGAGATCCTGCCTTAAGACTGTATTTGTATTTGCTTTAAACCATGTCTACATCGCCTAAATCAATAACTATCTTGTCTATAAAAATGTTTAGAAACAATCCCAACACTTAGATGTCATAGAGATAAGTGTGTATAAACCAGTTTTGTAATGTAA